AATAAGCACATTTCAGTTCAAACAGAGAGACTACATCCAAGACCTGCTGGAAAAACTAGAGTTTAATCACCTTTCTAAAGGCCAGTAAGGTTATAGGGTCTTTTCCCTCCTCATTTTGAAGGCATAGATTTTCAATAAATTCATTGTACCCTCAAGACAACTGTGAGGTCCTAGTTTCATGGGTGTTTGCGGGGGGACAAAGGAAGCAAGTGTCATCATCTGTGTTATAATGTCATCCTGACACTTGTGATGTCATGCAAGTCATTGTGGCTTGTATCAGATGCCTAATTATGGGTACTGGCTTAAAAGTATAAGATTTGGGATAGCCCTTTTTCAGTTCTGTTTCTTTCATTCTGCATTCTTCACCTGCCAGTTCCTACTGAGATTGCAACTCAACAGCGGGGCTTTAGATATCAAAGGTAAAATAAATTCTCCTTTGGTCCAAATGTAACTACTAGACTACATAGATTGCATGTCAATGATATAGAAGTAGTTTGTCATTGTTTTCTTCCGTGACGTTTCTCCCAATCTAGACTATGAGCCTGGGATTTCCTGATTCTCAACCACAACTACTAACCAGGCAGGGTTGTCCACAAGATATGGTCAAAAAAGGCAAGATGGCAGCCATGATAATGCAATGGAAGCTCCACCTGTTGTTTAATATGTGTTGCCTGTGTGACACATGCCCTCTGGGGTCTTGGAAATAGCATTTGGAAAGAGGAGCCCTCCCAAGAGCTTGGATCAAGCAGTGGCAGAAGAAGAATGGAAGTGGTGGCTGGAGATACATGGACCTCCAGTCTCCCAGTTTCCACTGAGGCTGATAGCATTCTGAAAAAGCTATTTTAGCCTCAGGTCTGTAACATTCAACTCATGTCGAGCCAGGTTAGCAGAACTTCAGATCCTTGATCTGAAAATTGCTATTTATAGAGCTTTCATTGTTTAATCACTGGCAGCTCAAAGACTGCTTTATAGGAAATATGGAAAGTAGTTTTCTAAATTTCTTCCTTGGTTGTATGGCTTTGTTAAAAGCCCTTCTGTGCATTAAATGTCTACTTATGAGGTGTTCTTTAAGCAAATCAGTTGGAAGTGGCAGATGTGTTTCATGTGGAGCACAGGCAAGTGGATTCAAGCAGACCCTGGAAATCTTTCTTACCTTGCAGTTAACTTGTGTGTATAGAAGACAAATACCGCACACAAGAGTGTTTCTCAAGACTCGCTGATTATACAATAAGCAAGACAAATTGTAAGAATGCAGAAAGCTTCACTAATAAGGAAGGAATTAATGCAAAAAGAGAAAGAGGAAAAATTATGGCCACATCTCTGGATAGAACAGCAGTTTTTCAGAACAGGGAGATTTTTGGTCAAAGCTGCCGATTGAGAGGATAAACATTTGTGTATTGCAGTCGGAAAAAATCTTATAATAAATTCACCGCAAAAGGAAAAGGAGTTCTGTGTGAAAGACATTATATTCTTTGATACTGTTTCCCACGCCCTTCAACAATCCCACAATATTAAACTGATACCCCATAATCTTCACAGCATGAGGGAGGTTGGGAAAACCTGTACTGAAATTTAGTTCTTGGGATTTTTTTTATAAACTCCTGCATATGTTGTCAACAATTAACATATTTATTTATAGCTCATGGATAACAGTTGCAGGTTATATAACTGCCTTCTTTCTAAGGTGGTGGATGCAAAGAAGAATCTTCCTTTAAAAAAAGGGGGGGGAGGGATGAAGGGAGAGAGGGAAAGAAAGAAAGAAAGAAAGAAAGAAAAGAAAGAAAGAAAGAAA